CCCCAAAACCCCAAAACCCCAAAACCCCAAAACCCCAAGTCTCCAAAGAGGGACTTTTTAGAGAACTTATAGTTTTATATTTCATAATAACCCAGATGTGTATTCTGAACAGAAGATTTCCTTGCTCTGGATGAAACTGTACTGCCCAAATTTGGGATGCAGCATTGGAGTACTGATGTAGTTCGACTGGAACTTCTTTGATTCCTTGCCTAGAAAATTAGGAAGATATACTTACTGAAAGAGCCATGGGAGGTGTCTTGGGAGTCAAGTTTGTTTCGGGAGCTCAAACCTTCTGGGCTAATGTTAGGGTTTCGATTCTTTTGGCCAATCCTCAAGCTAGGGGGTGTGGTATTTTCACGATTTTTATGGGGTGTGCTGTTTTGATAGATACTTAACTGGGAATAAGAATTATCACCCCAAAGATACACTCTTCCTTTTGCAGAGAGAGCCATTGAGTGGTTCCTACCACATGCTAAAGATTTAAAATGTATTCCATAGTTTGACATAACTATCTGAGGGACATAAGTGTATAAGTAATTCAAGTAATTTGGATCTCTTTTTCCACTCCTTTTATGTTGAGAATTATCGATGACTCTTTGAAATCCAACTGTCATATTTTGAGGACAAGAGACCTGGAAATCAGAATTGCTTTCTAAAATTAATGGATCCCCAATTCCTAATTTTCCATGACTGGCACATCCCCATGAATAAAGAAGGCTATCAGGTACAATTGCTGTAGTGAGTAAGATTCCATCTAATATTTTCCTTCTCAGTTTCTTCTTTCCAACCATCGTTGTCATAGCTTCGATAAGATCTTGCTTTAAAGATTGCTTCACAAGTACAACTCTTACATCATTTGATTCAGCAAGCTTATTGAGGTAGTACGGTTTGAGATATTCAAGGCTATCAACATATGAAATAATCACCATTCTTGGTTTAAGGGTATACAGATAATACAACTTCTTTAGGAAGAACTCATGGTCCTCTTCATGTTGATAATTTACAAGCAAGACTTTATTTTCATAATTCTTCTTCCTAGCAAATCTTTCAAAGTATTTCTGCTTCTTTTTAGCTGGAATTTTTGGAGGTTCATAATTTATTTCGATATCTGAGGGTTCTGACTCACCATTCTCCTCCTTCTCAGATTCTTCACCTTCATACGACTCATCATCCATCTCATCTATCTTAGTTTCTTCCTTTGGCTGAGCTTTATCTTCCCCTCTGTTTGAAAACTGAATTTTTCTAGATATTATTGTTCAAAATCTTACTTAGGCTTCTTCTGATTGGCTCCTTCATCAGAGAAATTTATATTTTGTACTTTTATAGGCTTCTCTTTATTATTAGACCCTTTAAGAATTCCTTTAGGGTCTTCAGGAATGTTAATGTCATTATCTACTCTAGAGGTGAGGCTATTTTTCACAGTAGACACTTCCTCCACCGAATGGGCTTCCGCAATGACATCAACTTCAGTCATTTCCTTATAATACCACTTATCTTTATTAAGACTCAGTTTGAACAAATTAGCCTGGTTATCAGCCACTTGTCGGATTTCATCATCTGCCTTTTGCTTCGCTTCCTCTCTAAAGGTTCTGACCGGTCTGTTTTTATCCAGCTCCTCGAGTGACAGCTCAAGATCTTCCGATACCTTATTCGCTTTCAAGCTTTCTTGCATCTTCAGCTTAAAAATGCTGAGCACGCCTGTTGCTGTACGATCTTTCTGAGCTTGGATTTCTTCCATCTTAGTCTTTCTCTCATCATGTCCGATTTCTTTGGACTTCTTCTTCTTGACTATTCTTGTTTCTATAAATTACTTTAGAACTTTACTCTTCTTGATTTTCTCTTCGTCTTCAGACTCAGACTCTTCTTCTTCATCGTCATCGTCTTCTTCAGAACTTGTTCTAGAGGGATTTGAGGGATACTTACTCTTCTTCAGATTCTTCTTCCTCCTCTTGGTCTTTGTCAATGTCGAAGTTGATGAAGTCGAGGTCGTTCTTGGCTAATTTTATGAGCAGTCTTTTATTTATACTTCGAAGTCATTTTACCCTTCATTTTCTTGTGCTTTCTGAGGACGTAGGGTAGGTCGTAATCATCTATGACGAATACCTCTTCCTTCTCTAAGCGGAAGAATTCTATGCTCATTACGCCATAGTCGTTGGGAATACCAAGAAAAGAGAATGTAGTGTCCCCCATGGAAGGATGAGTGAAGGCAAGGTGGATGGAGTGTCCTAGTGCGATTACGTGATTTGAGTATGTCGCCATTGTTGAAAATTTCTTAGCGTCTAATCCATGTAAGTGTAAAGGCGTTTTCTCAATCCCACAAGTAGGTTTGAGGTTCAGCCCGTAATTACTTCAACCCCAGAAGAAAATCTTGTATTCTTTAGATACAGCATATGTGTAATTGGATCCACAATATACTGAATCAATTTTACACTCCTCTTCAACTATACCTTCAAATATATGCTTTGAGTTCTCTAATCATTTGATCTCGACTGGCTCATAGGAGAAGAAGGCATCTTGAGCTTCTGTCTGATACAGAGATCCAGACTTTGAGTTGTCAATGCCAAGCTGGCTGAAAGTGTTGTCTCCCCATCCAAATATTTTTCCAGAATTTGTTACTGCCACACTGAAGTTATCCCCACAAGAAATCTTCTTAACCATAAATTTTTGCAGATTGTTTGTGAAGAAAGGAATTGGCTGAGGCTTTGTGAAATATTGAAATGCTGTTCAAGTATTCTGGTCGTTATCTATTTTAATTTTATCACGAAGATCTTGGAAATCATATCCAAGTTGACCTAGCCTATTACAACCCCAGGTGTATACTTTGTTAGAGCTCGATAGAGCAATTCCATGCCTTAGACCAGATTTAATTGTAATAAATTTTTGATCAGTTGTTGGAAATTGCTTCAAAACACAACTCTCTGTTTTGGTCTCAGTTTCCTCGATCTCATTATCCTTCGAGGAGGAGAAAACTTCTCCATCAATACAGAGGTAGAAATTAGTGTATCTTCGACCAGTATAGGAGACCAACTTCTTATCCAAAAGTTGGTAGTTGACTCTAGGACGTTCAATTTGCTGTACATTCTCAGGACTTTGGTTCTCAAAATAATCAACTGGAGGGTAAATAATGAAATGAGAATCTCCCTTGATATAAAAATTCCCAAATGCTTCCTCAGAACCTATAGGAGAAGGTCTATTTACTCGCTTTATAGAGTAAGTCTCTGAATAACTAGGATTATTCTGAGGTATCCCAAAAGTTCCATGAGGATTTTTCGAAGAAGGACTTGGGTATTTGTTCTCCAAGTATCGAAACTGGTTCTGGAAATTCATTGTCTTAGCCCTATCATAACTTCTTGGCTCTTTTACCTTAATGATGGTGTCGTTCTCTGTAAGATCTGATATTGATTTTACATGATTCTCATTTTCCTCCTTATCGATTATTTTAACATCCTCTTCCGACATATTCATCAAAGTATCAAAATGATTTTGGTTGCTTTGCCCATAAGCAAGACTATGAGAGGATATCTTTGTCCCTTTGCTATATTATTAGAGCAGATTCTTACTAGATATAATTCATTTTAGAGTTCGAGTAAATTCTATGGATACTTGTCGATTCAAATTCTCCAAGTTGTTGAAACCCATTGAATCCCCAATTAAACACGCATGTCTGGATTGGATGAAACACGTTGAGGAACAATAGAACTTCTGTAGATTCAATCAACCTTTCTTTGATATAGACCAGGCTCATTTTATATTCCTGGAGCATCTTCCACTTGAAAATTCTGAATTTATTTGTCATGAATGCTCTCTATTCCAGAGAAGCCTTCGACACTTCCTTTAGAAGACCTTTTAATAGAAGTGTAGCTTAATTTATTTGTTCCTGGATATCTTCTGGTCTCTCTTATTTTGATGAAAGGAAGGAGTAAAGCTATCACTCTCTGCGCTCTGATTTCCCTCGCTAATTCTTTTTTGCTCTTTGACCAACCTATCAATGGTGATGTGAATAAATTCGTAACAAAGACTCTCGATATAGGTCTCAAGATTTTCGTTTGGAATGTCATCAAAACACTTGGTAACTCTAAGAACAGATTTCAGAATGATTAGCATCTCTGAAAGATTTAACTCATCTTTTGCTTGCATATCGTACAGGATCAACAGGAGGTCTATTTTTTCTCCTAAAGACCAAGAATTTAGCAAAATGATCAAGATCATAAAATCTAGAACACTGATTCTATTCCTTGTCACGATTGGGCTGTCTACTTTAGACTCTTCAATCTTGGGGTTATAGAAAGAATCAATAGTTTCAAGCGTGTCATACAGATTTGTGTGAAATCGCTTAATTTTAAAATCTTTTACCAGACTTTGCAGTCTATCAAAATCAAGATTAAACATCGCTACAGGATCGTGGTGGATCTTGGCAATGACTTGGTACACCTCTGATGAGCTATTTGCTAAGAAATTCCTTTGGGACGAGCTTGTGTAATTCCTTAGCTCCACTCTTTGATAATTTCTGAATTCCTTTGATAAAGATCTCTTTGCACTCTGACATTTAAATTAAAAATTTTTATTATATCATATTTTATATTAAAATTTGAGCTTGGGGTTTTGGGGTTTTGGGGTTTTGGGG